CTAAGTTTTTCGTGTGTTGGAGCTGAAACTGCAAGTCCAGTATTTTTTGGCATTTTATACTCTTATTATGTTAGTGATTACCACTTGTATTATTAGCCTTTAAAAATCTAAAGTTAATTAAAAAGCAGTCTATTCCTCATTCCTCTTTGCCTCCAAATACCTCTTAGAACTTTTTGTCTCCTTCTTAGTCTAGACTGTTCCTTAGTTTTGTTGCACAGTTACCATCTTAGCACTTTTCTTACTCTCTGGGATTGGCTCCAGTATTTCTTGGATTTCATGTCTTCCTTTCTTTTGTTTCATATTTTTTATTTTACTGGGTAGCATGTAAGGTCATATGTAGGGTTAATTTCCTTTTCCTTGCCTGTGTGAAAATGTTACAGCTTATACTTGCCTGCTGATTTGGCTGAGTGTGGAATTCATTTTCCTTTAATACTTAAGTGGCCTTGCCTTTTTACTTCTCCCGTAGAATCTGGTGTCCTCAATGAGAAGTCTTCTGATGATTCTCATTCTTTTGTAGATGAACTCTGTTTCTTTTCAGAGAGCTCTCAGGGATATATTTATCTTTGTTATGAAATTTCATCTAGACGTGAGTACTGACTTTTTTGTTATTGTACTGGATTTTCATAGACCTCTTTATATTTGAAGATTTGTTTCATTTAGCTTTGGAGTATTTCCTTGTGTTATTTCCTTGTCAATTCTCTATTTTTTTTTCCCCTAGAACTGTTAATTGGATGTTGAATTGTCTGGATTGGTCATCTTTTATGTTTTCTTTATGTCTTTTTGCTTTACCTTTTCTGGAAAATTTTCTTGGATTTGTTTCCACCTCTCCAAAAGAGAAAAAAAGTTAATGAAACATGTTGGAAGATAAAGATTTCTTTTTTTTTAAAGATTTTATTTATTTATTAATTTGACATTGAGAGAACAGGCAGGGGGAGCAGCAGAGGGAGGGGAAGAAGCATGGCCCCCCGCTGACGATGCGGGGCTGGATCCCAGGACCCTGGGTTCATGACCTGAGCCAAACGCAGATGTTTAACTGACTGAGCCACCCAGGCGCCCCGGAAGATACAGATTTCTCAACGCTTTTTATTTTCTTAGTTTTTTTTTTTACAGCAGTCTGTTCTGATTTTATGAACTTCGTTATATCTCTTGAGGATAAAAATTTGTACCTGTTCACAATTTTTATTTTGAAATGGTAATTGTAGAAATAAGTGCAGTACAAAGACATTTTTCCTGTCTTTCTCCTGAATATTTTAGTGTGTATTTTCTGCAAGCCAGGATCTTCTACTTAATCACAATCCAACCATAGAATTAAACAATTAACATTTATTTATACATGCATGGATGCATGATTTCTTACTTTATTCAATGGAATATATTCTGTTACTTTTATTGTTTATTTTGATGCTCAAATTGCCCTGATTTGGCCAGTAGGAGCCTTTTTGATATCACTTCTCTCTGTCCTTTGGCATCACCTTATCTTTTTTAACTTCCTTGTTTTGTGACATAATATTGTGTCCCAGGCTTATCTTGTACTTTTCCTGCCTTAGTGGCGGAATCCCAAGGATTCCTAGTTCTCTGTAGTAGAAAGTGGTGTTTTTAAGATCTCAGCATTAGGTTTGCTCATTGCTATTGGACTGTTGCTGGTTTCAGACCCTTTCAGTGGACAGAGCTGGTGTGTGTGTGTGTGTGTGTTTTATGTGTGTGTATATTTATGTATTGAAAACTGTTAAGTTCATGGTGATACTTCTCATTTAGTATCACATCATTGAATCTAGCTTTTTCTCCTTTATGTTTGCAATCCCTTCTCTGACACAGAGAAGCTTGGCTTCTATTACCCTTAATGTATTTACTTACTTGATCAATCCCCTGGATGTAGCTAGTCTTCCATCTCTCTTGTCACTCTTCACCCTCACACAAACACCCTGTTCTCCTTGGACTATTAGTCCTCATTTTAGATTACCTTTACCCTTCCATAACTCTGCATGGAATCTCCCACCCACCCCCAATACCATTTGACCTTTGATATCCCTTACCAAGCTACCCCTCAGCTTGGATGCCCTCTCCACTGTGCTTGGGGTCTGATACACCATGTCAGGGTGCCTCCACCTGGATGCCTTCCTCACCTTGTGTTAGAGTGCTGATAGCTGTTCTAGGGAAGCCCCCATATGTGGATGCTCTCCTTACTGTACTCTGGCTCTGATAGTTTGACTCCTGCTTCTACCCCCACCCCAATTTTGGATACTTTTACTCTTCTTGGTCTTTAACTTCTCATATTAGACTCCTCCTCCTCACTCCCCCCCCCGCCCCGCCCCGCTTTTTCCCCACTGTGCTCTTCTATCCCTAAATGGCTTTAGGACTCAATTGTTTCGGAGGGTAGAAGGGGGGAGGTGGGTGTATGTTTCATCCAGGAGTAATTTTTCATCTTATTATGGTTTTTCATGATTAACTATAGTCTATTCATATTTATGAATAAATAAATAATAAGCTGGGGATACTATGTAGGTAGAACTTAGTGTTTTATTTTACAGTTATTAGGCAGAGAGCTGCTCATTGCTGTGGAGACCTCTAAATTCTGGAAATCAGTAGTCATTTCTCTAAGAAACCGGCACTCATCCATAGGAGCTATACTAGTTTCCCCAAAGTGAGTGTGTGTGTGTGTGTGTGTGTGTGTGTTGGGGGAGGGGCACAGGTGGAGGGTGGGGATTAACCCTTTAGTTTTTGGCCTTCAGAGAAAAATGCCTGCCTATTTAACACTATTGTCTTAGAACTATTGTGGTTGATAGTGGGTGGTAGCTCTTCCAGGTAGAGGTAATTCCCCTGTTTTCAGTTTTGCATTTCCCATAAGCCCTCCTTTTCTGAATTTCTAGCTTTTATGGGATTCTGCAGAGCAATTTGTATCTGTTATAGTTTCCTGAAATTCTCTGGGCTTTATTCCTGGCTTTATTAGTTATGGATCCATTTTCATAAATTTGAGAAATTTCTTTTTGGCTTTCTTCTCCAGTTGGGATTTTCAGCTGCAAGTAGAAATCCTGTCTAAAATTTACTTAAAAGTTAAGAAAAAACTGGGGCCCTTGGGTGGTGCAGTCAGTTAAGTGTCTGACTCTTGGTTTCACTCAGGTCGTGATCTGAGGGTTGTGAGATTGAGCCCCGAGTTGGGCTCTGTGCTCAGTGTGGAGTCTGCTTCACATTCTGTCTCCCTCTCTCTCTGACTCTCCCACTCATGCGTGCGCTTTCTCTCTAAAATAAATGACTCTTTAAAACAAGGTTAAGAAAAAACTACTAATAAGAAAACTAATGGTATTGTTGGTTAATACGCAGTTTGATGAATCTAGAAAAGATCTAGGTCATTTTCCTCTTCTTTTCCATCATAATCTCTTTCTTGTCTTAAGGAGGGATTAAGACAATCTCTTCGTCTTTTTCTTGTCTTAAATAGTTATAGCAGTTTTGGGCATTACATTCTCACTGAGGAATATCTAAAGTCTTCAAGAAGACATTTTTTTCCTTGTGTTTTGTTTTTAAGTTTGGATAAAACTTTCTGCGAACCCTTGCTCATATCTTATTGATAGAATCCATCTATCACATGTGTATTTGAAAACCAGTGTGTGCATGCGTATGTGTTTGTGTGAAATTACTATAAATAAATTGTCTTTAGTAAATAAATTATCTTGAGACCATTGCCTCTTTGACCAGCAGCATTAGATATCGGGCCTTTTCAGAGTACACATTTAAGCAAGATTCAACAAGATGACTTCTGCAAGTCAATAAGATGACTTGATTGTATATTAGTATTTGAAAAGCCCTGGTCTGAACAAGAAAAGATTTAACCCTCTGGGAATGAGGGAAGCTGCATTTGTAAAAGTACAAGATCTCAAAATACCTGAACAAAATCGGGGTTCAATAAGAAAGGAAGAAGGATGTCGAGAGTCAATGTAGGAATGGCTGTTGGTTTGGCAACCAACAATGTCTGCCCATAATCCTTATCCCTTCTTTTGGTTGTAACTGTGTGTGTGTTTGTGTGTGTGTATGTGTGTATTCTTTTTAAAAAATCATTGTTAGAGGAGGAAGAAAGGATGAATGGAGGTATGGCTAGTCTGCCATCTTGAATAGGAAATGTTATTGCTTTCCTGTATTGAGCCCTGTAAAATATTAATAGTATGCACATATGTCCTATAATCTAAAATTCTGTACTTAAAGGCAGTAAAATAGATCCTTACTAATCTTGAGGGTGTATTCATTTTCTGTTGTGTAGTAACAAAAAACAACACACATTTTATTATCTCACAGATTTTGTGATTCAGTAAGTCTGGGGTGTGACTAACTGGGTACTGTGCAAGGCTGCAGTGAAGGTGTCGGCCAGGTCTGGGCTCTCAGCTGGGGAAGGATCTGCTTCCAAGCTTACATGGTAGTTGGCATCATTTAGTTCTCTGTGGGCTGTTGGACTGATGCTCTCAGTTTTTTGCTGACTGTCAGCCAGAGACCTTCATCAGTTTCTTGGTAGGCCAGCTCATAGCAAAGCAGCTTGCATCTTGAAAGCCAGCAAGTGTGAGAGAGTTTCCTAGCAAGAAGGACATTATAATCTTATGTAGTCCTATAAAGTCTATCATCTTTGTCATTTCCTGTTGGTCAGAAGTCAGTCATAAGTCATGTCCCCTGTCAAGGAGAGGGAATTGCACAAAGCCACGAATATCAAGAGATGGGGATCATAGGGACTACTATAGTGATTATCGGTCACTAATAATACATACAACTGACCATAAGAACAAGTTATGACATGAATTATATATTGTATTGAGGCTTCTACTTAAAATTTGTACTGTTTCATACTAAGGCAATCAAGAAATTTACAAATGTAGCCAAATATTTAAAATCATTGAAGTAAGTCTTGATAATGTCTTTGTAATATTATTGTTGTTAAACAGGCTCCTTAGTTTTAAGTTTATTAATATGGTTAATTGTATTTCATGAATTAAGTTTTAGACATTTCTTTTTCTTTTTTTTAGTTGACTATATTGTGGAGTATGACTACGATGCTGTACATGATGATGAATTAACTATTCGAGTTGGTGAAATCATCAGGAATGTGAAAAAACTGCAGGAGGAAGGATGGCTAGAAGGAGAACTAAATGGGAGAAGAGGAATGTTTCCTGATAATTTTGTTAAGGTTAGTACTCTCACTTAAATTTCTAGCCTAGCTTCATAGGATTTAATCTTTAACTTTAAGAAATACATGTATTTTAAAATCTAAATTGTTCAAGGTGTATTTTTTACTCTACATTTGCTTGGTGTCCTGGTGGATAATAACACTGTGTGTATGTGTGCGTACATGTGTGTTTATATATGTATGTATGTATCTACCTGTCTGTCTTTTAAATGGTACTTTGTGTTTGGGTAGCACTCTTTTACTTACAAAGTAGTTTTGCTGTGTACATTCTCATTTGAGCCTACTGTCTTGTAAGTAGGGCAGATGATAACCCCATTTTAAATATGGTGATATATAGATGAGATGGTTTACCCAATATTGACTAGCTAAGAAGATCTAGAATTTGAACTGAAATCCAGGATAGTTGACTCAAGTCTAATTATATATTGTTACTTTCATAGTCCCTTTGCATTCCTCTGTTAAGTTTCAGCATTGCAGCAGGTATTTATCAAAGGAACAGTTTACTCTTTAACCACCAAACATTCCCTTTTTAGTAAATATTCTAGTCGCCTCTGCCAGAAAACAATCAAAATTCTTAAATCATTTGCAAACAAAGTTCTCAGTAGTTTAGAGAAGGAAAAAAATAAAGAATATCTGTATATTTATACTTCACTTGTAATTGTCTTCTTTCCTGTCTTAGTTTTCTTATACCTAGCTGTATCCCTGGCCTCGTTAGATTATGATTATGAGTTCTTCTGGGAAGGCTAGAATGTGTCTCGTTTGTTCACCTTACATAGTAATATCCACCTGCACAATATGGATATTTAGTAAATATTTGTTCCCTGAATAATTTGGTTTTACCTCTAAATATGAACTCCTACTGTAATATTAGTTGTTTCAGAAGTGAACTAACTATACTTTACCTAACTATATTTTATCTCTTGAAACAACTAAGAAAAGCTGTAATAAGGACTTGAACTTATAGGAGAAGGTCACTTTTTTATTTTTTGTTTTATAAATCGACTTATTTCTTATAACCTAAAATGGAGTGTAATGCAGATTTGGAAATTGGAGTAGAATAAATGGATTAAAACACAGTCAAGTTCCAGCTTTGTCTTTGGCTGGTGGAATAATATAGGTCAAACCACATAATTTCTCTGTTTTTTTATACTTAAAAATGATATATTGATAGTGTATAGTAAGCCATGCCATTGACCTCTCATTTCTCTTTTTTTTTTTTAAAAGGAAAGTGCCTTTTCAGAGGTAATATATTGAAGTAATAGAACACTAGTTAAAAAAAATAAGTTAAAGTATTTATATAGTTCTCTTAATTGTGTGCTGATGTATTGTCCCAGTAGTGGAGATGACCTATCACAGGACTCCATTTTGAAATACATGTTACTTTCCTGTTTCAGTACAACTAACACTAGAACTTGACTTGAATGAATTGCCTGAGAACAGAGGATGCAGTTTGAAAATGCTGGATAATAGAGGGAAGCATAATCTGGGATTAAAAAGTAACCACAGGGTACCAAATTAGAGTTGGAGACATCAGTATGAACTCATGTTTAGTTTAAGATATGTACCAACACATACAGATATATATGTGTGTGTTAATACTTGTATTAACTTGGTTAATAGACATACATATATTTTTCAGCTCTCTCCACTGAGACAGCCTAGAAACAGTGACACACCAGTAGCAATGACTATACCCAGTGTCCAGATTTTGGTTTCTAAATATTACTCTCCAATAAAAGGAAGCAGGGCTCCTTAGACAAATAGCTGATTCTAGGGTTGTAGCAAGGAAAATACATGATGGACCCTGGAACATCTCATAGTACCAGAAAGTAAGGAAGTGCTCAAAAAAAACCCCACAAAATAATGGCCCATGTCAAAACAGCATAGGGCCCAATCTAAAAGAGCTTCCAGTGTCCAGAGCTGGAACAGTTTAAGCAACAAAATAACGTATTTGATCATTACCCAAAGTGGAGCATAAATATAACTAAGTCCATGCTGATAAAGGTAAATGGTTGAGTAAATAAATAAATGGGGAGAAGGGAGAAATCTCACAGAATTATTTCAAATATTTGTAGATACTTTCTTTCCCTCCATCCTCTCCCCTCCCCTCCCCTCCCCTCCAAATCATCCCTCAAGAATGGGCTGGACTAAAAAAATAGATGGAAGAAGAAAATAGTAACTTTACAGTGGAGAAAGCTGGCAAGTACTACCATAATCAAATGATCAAAGCTAATAACATCATCAGTGATATATTATGTTGATATCATGTATCCCCTAAATCTCTGTGGTATTTATTCTTTCCCCCAAACCCATAATCCCAGTTTTAGCGTGAGAAAAAGAATCAGACGAACCTAAATTGAAGGCACTCTACAAAATACCTGACCAGGGCTGAAAAAGAATTTCAAGGTCATGAAAACCAAGGGAAGACTGAGAAACTGATGTTGACTAGAGGAGCCTAAGGAGACATGATGACCAAATGCCTTGTAGTATCCTGGATTGGATTCTGGAACAAAAAAATAGACACTGGTGAAAAACTGATGAAATCTTTATAAAGTCAGTGGGTTAGTTAGTAGTAATGTACTAGTGTTAATTTCTTAGTTTTGGCAAGTGTAATATGGTTATGCAAGATACAACATTAGGGGAACAGAGTGAAGGGGATATGGGAACTCTGTGTACTACCTTCGTAACTCTTCCAAAAACCTAAAATTATTCTAAAGTAAAATTTTTATTGAAAAAATTAACCACAGGCAATCAACAGTGATAGGTAATAAGTTGGCTTTATTACTTCAGCTGTGTATATAAAGATTTAAGGGAAAGTTAGAATTTATAATTCACTGTCCCCTTGAAAAGAAGCCTTTTATGCTTAATGTACTGTTAACATTAAGGTACATAGGTTATTTTGTAAATGTAAGACTATGGAGTGGATGGTAGAACTAACCAGGCTTCCTCTAAAGACTCACATCCCTGTTATTATCTCAGATAGCTGTACTGAAGAGCATTGATACTCCAGTTGGGCTGGAAGATGGATAGAAAGGTCAAGTAATTTTTGCAGCTTATTGAAAAAACTTATGGACACTAAATTTGTTTTATGACAAACTGTTCATTTCATTGTCCCTTTGCAGTGTTATTTCATCTTTACATGATTTAAAAAATAGTTTAAAACAATATAGAACAAGGATTCATGAACTTATGTATAGAATGTTATCATTTTGGCATTTTTGCTTTAGAGTGTTACTTTCATAATAAACATTACAGATAAAATTGAGTTTTGTTAACCTCCTTATCATTTCCCTCTCCTCCCAAACTCTGTATTCTGAAATTATATGTATCCTTATAATACATAGTTTTATACATATTTATCTGTGCATAAACAAATAGTATTTTGTGTGATTTAGACATTGGCATAATTGTCAGGTTGCAACTTTTTAAAACTTAATACGGGTTTCAATGTGATACATAACATAATCATTTTGACTACAGTATACGTTCATAACACTGTGTAGTTAGCTCATAAATGATTGGTAAATGGGGGCGTCTGGGTGGCTCGGTTGGTTGAGCATCCGACTTTTGGTTTCTGCTTGGGTTATGATCTCATGAGTTGTGGGATCGAGTCCCAGGTGGGGCTCTGCACTTAGCAGGGAGTCGGCTTGAAGAGTTTTACCTCTGCCCCTCCCCGCACTTGCACACATGCTTGTATGCGTGCTCTCCCTCTCAAATAAATAAATAAATCTTTAAAAAAAATGGTAAATAGAGGAATGATGTCAGGACAATGGGAAAGTTGTGTTATTTTCTAGGTAAAGGGAGCTGTGATAAAGAGTGTAGAATTATAATTTCCATAAGAACGGGAGAGGCTCTCATCTTGGCTGCTTATGTGAACAGGAGTTCTTTCAGCTTTTAAGTGAAACCTTTTTTTTTTTTTTTTTAAGATTTTATTTATTTATTCCAGAGAGAGAATGCGAGAGAGAGAGAGACACCTCATGTGTGCGAGCTTGCTAGGGGAGGAGCAGAGAGAGAGACAAGCAGACTCCAGGCTGAGCATGGAGCCCAACTCAGGGCTTGATCTCAGGACCCTGAGATTATGACCTGAGCCGAAACCAAGAGTCAGATGCTTAACCGACTGAGCCACCCAGGCGCCCCTAAGTGAAACCTTTTTTTTTTTTTTTTGTTAAGGTGATCATCTGTACCTGGGTATTCTCATAGTTGACAGTCCTAGCATAAAAAGTTCTATCTTTTGACCCCTCTTCTTTCTGCACTATCTTAACATCCATAAACCAACCTTTCTACTTTATTGTTGTTATGCATTTTTAATAGCTATGGAGGAATCCATCTGTCATCTGCTTGGGCAGCCTTAAGTTATTACCCACTTAATCCATTTTCTAAGGTTTCAGTTATTGTTACTTATTTTTATTTTCGTTTTAGTGCTCAGGTTCCAAAGTTGCATAGGTCTAAATTGGTATGTCCCAAACCTTACACTTTTTTTTTTTTTGCATAATCACTGGTATTTTTAGTGTTTGATTTAGTTTTCACATACTCAGTCGTATTTTAGTGTGTATGATTTTCTTTTCCCCCAGAAGGTCAGATGTTTAGGAATGTACATGTAGTTTTATAGTAGAGATTGCACAGTCCTATGGTGTTCCATTCTGGGTCTTTACCACATTTTATGAGGTAAAATAGGACTATTTTTCATTTTTTAGATATTCAAAACAGTGCTGCAATGAATATCCTTTTGTAGGTTATATACATAGCTGGGAATTTGCTGCATCCTAGGGTACGCACATATTCAGCTATATTAGACATTGTCTAATTTCTCAATAATTACACCAATTTAAATTCCTACCAGTAGTATGAGTTTTTCTTCCATGTTCTTTTAAACATTTGATACCATCAGATTTTCTTTTTTTCTTTCTAATCTTACAGATCTATAATATCCACGTTTCAGTGTTTCATTTTTGTGATTATGAGGGAAGTTAGGCATTTTATCACATTTATTGGCCATTTAA